TCTCAAAATAAAAAGGGTGGCAGTATCGCACAGTGGAAATACACCAGTCCAGCCCTGTGTTTAATGTCCAGGTGTAGGTGTGTGTGTGTGTGTGTGTGTGTGTGTGTGTGTGTGTGTGTGTGTGTGGCAGATTCTGAGACTGACTCTCTTTATTGGCCACTGTAGAAATAGAAAAACAGACTATTTAAGGTCACACAGTAGGGCCAGAACTCTTCTCCCCAGGCTGCCTGCCAGGGCTCCACCAATCCCCTGCTCCCCTCAGGGCTCTAGCCCACTTGCTCATGACTCTTCCAATTTAGAGCAATCCTTTTTAATTCATGTTCGCAGAGACTCACAGCTGGCTCTGTCCTGATTTCAAACCATGCCCATGGTTAACCAGGGTGCTGGCTCACTGATTTAGAGGTGCAGGGCAAGCTTTAGCTGGAACACCTTCCTCACCACTGTCAAGAATCCAAATGGCCTGAGAGGAGAGACTCTTCCAGGTGAGCATGTGAACATGGACCCCCAAACTTCCAGATGTCAGCAGGGCGGGGACATTAGCAAAAATTGATTTTAGAAAATTCTAGAATCAGGTGTTAGAGAGAGGGCGAGAGGAAAGGGGGAAGAAAGAGAGGAATGTGAGTGTGTATAGATGGTTTGAAGCTTCATGATGGGCACTGCTGGGTCAGGATTAGTGGAGGAAGGAGATGCATCCAATTAGAGGAGGATTTGCTTCTCTCTGAATTCAGGGACCAGGGAGAACACGCTTCCAGCCCACGGGACACAGGAGCTCTAGAAGCACACAGCAGTGTGGTGCCAGCTCCTGCAATCGCCTTGTTCATGACCTCGTTCCTCAGTGGGCTCACTCTGATGGAATGACTGGGAATGCCTTCAGGGCCTGCCTTGCATATGGGTCTGCGCAACGGTGCTCAGCACTAGTACATGCTCAATAAACTCGAACCCCTGGCTTTTGCAGGTCGTACTACCTCTAGACTGAATTTCCGTTATATTTTTATAAACATGCTGTGAAGTATGTGTTCCTATTAGTCTCCAGTTCTTTCTGGACTGTGGAGATAGAAAGGGAGGCATTCAGGTTGCGTCCTCCGTTGATGGCTAACTCTGACCTCAGAGCATCAGTGGTGGCTGGCCTAATAAGGGTGTAAGGGACTTCAGCTTTCGGCAGGGCCCACTGGGGAAGCCATGTCCGGTACTAAGGAGACCAGGCTTGATTTCTCAGATCAATGTCACTCATTTGGAGGCTGAAAGTGGGATGCGGAAAAACTCAAGCCAACTTCCAGAGGGCCAGGCTGGGGGACACGTGTGGCTCAGTGGTAGAACATTTGCCTAGTATGTGCAAGGGCCTGGGTTCCATTCCCAGCACTGCAAACAGGAAAAGCGGGGCGGGAACCAAAGAAAACCTTTGCAAGGTCCCCTCAAGTGCCCTGAGGGAGACCTTTGGAAAGCCGGAGTAAACTGTGATGGAGGCCAAACCAAGTCACCACCATGCGACTAACACCACAGGCAAATGACCTGTGCGGTCACACGAGGTCCCAAGTTCAGAGAGGTCCCCATCCTGAAACTCTCTATCCTTTCTCAGTAGAGCTGAACTTTTGTTTTGTACTGGGCCCCATGAATCAGAATCTGAATCCGATACCGGGGCCCTGTACTGCAGGACAGCCCTCTTGCCCCACAAGCGGCCCCCAAGTGAGGCAGCACATGTGTCCACCCCCACCCCCCCCTGAAGTGAGCACAGATAACCAGGGAGGGAGCAGCACTCTTAGACCACAGAGTTTCAACCTGGGGGCGGCCACTGTGCAAGAGCTGCCTGCCCACGGCATCTCTTTCCTGAAAGAGGGGCTCAGGCTCCAGGGGAGGGGGGAGCGGCCAAAGCCTCTGGAGTGGCACGGCCAAAGCCTCTGGAGTGGCAAGGATTTAGTGCCATTTGCCAGCCGGAACTGGGGACAACACCCACGGACCTAGGTCACAAAGCCAGTTCTGTAAGTTCAATGATCAGTATCAGTTAAACTGCTTAACAGGAGCAAAGCAAACACACTAACCACTTAAGGCCACCAGTCCCTCTCCCCTGCATTCAGCCTCCTCCCTTAACCCCTAAAACTCAGAAAGGGCCAATTCAAGGATGAAGAGAGAGGGCCTTGGGATACAGCGCAGTTGTAGAGAGCTTGCTTAGCACGCGTGAGGCCCTGGATTCCACTCTAAGCACCAAAGACAGGAAATAAGGATGCGGAATTCTCCACCAGCAGCTGGCATACGCAATCACACTATACCTACAGCTCTCTAGACAAACTGGAGAGGCGTGTCGTGCCCAAGGAGCACCTCCAGCCAAGCACCATTCTAGGTGCTGCAGATATGACCATGTGTAAATGGGACATAAATCCTTGCCCTTAGGAGATCAGATACTGAAGAAGGGAAGAGACTATGCATAACAATTCACTAATTACAGTGTCAGGAGAGAGTGGCAGGCGAGAGCGGAGAGCGGCGCTTCAGTGAAAGGCTACAATAATGATGAGAGGCAGAGGCCAGAACTTCCTGCTGCCTTCCTTGTCCCTCACAGCTCCTGGTCTCATGTGTGGATGCCGATCACACCCATTTCAGAGGCAGGAAAACACACCAGAGTTAAGAAGCTGGTTTTCCCTTGGTCTTGAACTGGGGTGGGGGTTGTTCTAATCACTGCATGCCCTCTGGGCTCTCCACTATTCAGGGATTTGGCAGGGTGCTGGGCCTCCAACATTGCCTTTGTGCCCCAGAGCTAAGTCTTAGGTGCTAACAACCCAAACTCCAATTCCAGCTTTATCTGTATACATGCAAAGTGCTTCTGCCAGAGGAGTCTCCCCATGGTTTAAAAGGAAGATTCACACACTCTCTTAAATGACAAAGGGATGGATGGCAAGTCTGCTTGTACAGTGGATGCTGCTGGAATCCAGTCATGTCAGTCTGTCTGTCTGTCGTCTGTCTGTCTCCTCTGGGAATGCTACAAGGGCTGTGCCATGTGTCACCCATCTCTCAATGGGGGAACAAATGGCAAAGGGCTAAACATTAGGTACGACACTCAGCAAACTGCTGAGTGGCCCCGGAAGCGGGAGAGGTCTGGAGAGCAGTGGAACCTTCCTTCATAGTGAACCCCGGAGCACTGTTGTGTCAAAATGTGAAGGAGGGCACGTTTGCTGGGCACACACTCACCCTGCATGAGGCGATCACACAGCAGGGGAATCCATTTTCACTGTTCTCCAGCGAGCCCAAGCATGCAGGAACTTACTGAACCCCCATTGGTGGGGACCCCATGGCAACTGTAGCATGTCCAGGAAGCCCCAGGGCAGCAGCAGCTCAGAGCTGGGCTGTGTACTCTTTAAATGTCAATGGTTTAAACTGGCTGGTGATGGCATGACAGCCAAGGCGAAAGCAAGAGCTGGCTGGTTCCAGATGGTTCCCTTTTTTCCACCTCACCTGCCCCCAAACTTCCAACTGGAACCCAGGTGTGCCCTGCCCTTCTAGCATGAAGGCAGGAGGAGAGAGTTGAAAAGATCAAGCGACCAGAGCAGTGATTTCTTCAACAAACTCAAAATCCCTAGAACTCACTGAACCATCAGGGACAGAAAAGAATCGGGAACCTTCATAGCCAGCCCTGGAAGGGAGATTTGGGGGACCCGCATGTGTCCGGTGCCCTTCTTTCTGCAGAGATACATTGGCATTGGGACTGACTGCTGCCACAGGCTCTCCAGATTCAAAGCTGCCATATGTCTGTGTGCATTTGTCTAAGCCCACGTATCAACCCCAGGGCTGCCTCAAAGGAGCTGGTTTGCCAAATGGCACCAGTGCCCAGGATGGGCTAAAAACCACTTCAGCTGGTCAAGTGGTCTGAGGCCAATGTCCTCTCTAGGCTTAGATCCCAAAGTGCCCATGTGCCATGATGTGACAGCGAGCTTGGGCATTTTCTGGGCTGACTGTCACTCTGTCTTCATGCACACCAGTAAGGGGAGGAGTGGACGCTGTGACAGATGGGGGAATAACTCTTTTCTGGCTGAGGAGAACACTCGCTCACACAGCCCCTCATTCATGGATGCCCTACTTCTGAGTTCCAGCCTGCGGAGACAGGGGTGCCTCATACTCCTTCTCCTTCCAGGTGGGGACCTTATTTTTAGTACCAATTTGCAAGAGGTGAAACCGATATTTTGAGCGCACCCAGACACCTGCTGGGGCCAGCCAGCTGAGCAGCGAGGGGTTGCACCCCAAGCTTTTGCTTCCCACCTCTAGAACATACGAAGCAGCTGGGTGGGGGGGCAAGGGCCAGAATCCTGTTCCTCCAAAGCATCCCACCAGCCCAGGGCATCTCGGTGCTTCTTATCTCAAGGGAATGTCTGGTGGGGGGGAGGCCCTTCCCAGGCAGGCTTCCAGGAGGCCTGGCCCTCTACAATAGCATTCCAGGAGGCAGAGGACCCTACAAAGGCATGCACTGTAGGGCCTGCAGAATGCCCGGCCCTTGTGCAGAGCCCCAAGACCCCAGCCTCCTCCTCTTTGCACACTGTCCCCAAACCCAGAGCACAGGGCCAGGGCTGGGGGGACAGGTCTCTGTATCTGGAGGGCAGGGGATTCTGAGGTTCTGAAGAACTAAGCTTCATCAGCTGCTGCCAGACTGGATGGGGCTGCAGCCCTGAGATCCCACGGGGCAAGGCCAGGCGCCGGGCCCCACCTGTCAGCCTGGGTGGGGTCCATTAGGAAGGGCTGGGGAGAGAGCCTGAGGATGACGGCTCCTTTTATTTGGGAGTTGGGAGGAGATTTGGTCCCCAGGTTGGGGGAGGGGAATGCAAGCTGGGGACCCCGCGCTGCGGAAAGAGAGTTGCGTGGGATTGCCCCGGCTGCACGAGGGGGTGAAGGGGTAGGGCTCCGAGCCCAGGGGAAGGCCGCGGTCCCCCAGGGCCTGCTGAGGCGTGCACCGGGGTCGCGTTTGCACGCAGCGGGGGTCGTCGCCGGCTGCAGAGAGGGCCTCGGGACGGTGCCTCACTCACCTCCTGAAGTCAAAGGGCATCGTGCCGCCGAGCCGGTGGGAGCGTTGCAGGCCAGGCGGGCCGCAGCGCCGCGTGGGTCCGAGCCCGCTGCCAACGCCTCCTTGGCCGCCCCGCCCCCGCCAGCCGGCCCGACACTCGCCACTCGCCTCCCGCCGCCGGGAAGTGACGCTCCGCGCAGCCCATTGGGCGCCGCCGCCTCCCCCGGCCGCCCCTTCCGCTGCCCGGTTAAAGGGGCCCAAGGGTCGGCGGGCTGGGGCGGGTTGGGAGTGGGATGTTGCCCCAACCCAGTTCTCTAGGACTCAGGAGTCAAGCTTTGGTTCCTTTTGCCCTCTGATCTTCTTTCCTAGTCTGTGTGGGGCCTCAGGGCAAATCCCTTTGCCTCTAGCAGTGGGTTTTGTGTTTGTAAAATAAAGCCATTGCGTTGTGAAGATCAGAGAGAATGTTGCAAATTAGAGTCCTTGCGTGGAGCTAGTTCTGGGTGAGGGCTAAAACTTGGGGGTGGGCAACGCAGTCCTGGACTGGGAAAGTCCACTGGGTGTCCTTTGCCTCTCAGGAACAGCCATCTGGCTCCTGGGATCTGCCACCACCCCTTTCTCCATCTGCATATACCCTGGCTTTTCCTAGGTATCAAAGCAGACGTTGGGACCCTGGTTATTTGAACAGCCTGGCATCTACTGAGAGATTCTCCACCTGTTAGGGTTGGACTTAGCTCTCTGCTTTTATCGTCTTCCATTTAGGGTTGGTGCCAACTAATATTCTTTGAGCATCTACCCACCTTGAAGTCAGGCCCGTGCAGGATTATCCAGAGGTTTGGGGTTTGCACTGTTAAAAATGGCAAAGCTGATTGCCCCCTGAGCCTCAGTTCTCAGAAACACAGAAGTGCGGAGAACAGCTCCCTCAGCTTGCAGGGCCAGAGGAGGAAGGAGTTGAACTCCAAGCCTGTTGTCTGAAGATCTTAGTTGTCAACTTGACATACCTGGGAAGGGGGAACCTCAGTTGAAGAATTACCTCCATCACATCAGCCTGTGGGCATGTCTGTGATGTTTTCTTGGTTCCTAATTGATACAGGGAGGCCCACCCCTCTGTGGGTAACACCATCCCTAGGCAGGTAAGCCTAGGATCAGAAAGCTTAGCTGCATGTGAGCAGGGGAGCCAGGCAGCAGCCTTCCTTCACGGGTCCCTGCTTCAATTTCTACTTCATGGTTCCTGCCTTGAGTAAATGAAGGACTGTGGTGTGGACGCGTGTGCCAAATAAACCCTTTGCTCCCAAGTTGCTTTGGTCAGAGTTTGTCACTGCAAAGAAAAGCAAACTAGAACACCAATGTAGGAGAAATCTGACCACTGAACTTGCCTGGGTTCTTTTGCTGATGCCTTCTTCAAAGTTGTAGTGACCCAAGACAACAGCAACTCAGGGAAGAAAGTGGGGGCCCAAGTTTAAAAAAGCAGAACCTGTGGGCAGTTTTCCGACTTAAAAATTGATGGAAACAGCTGCTTGATTTCCTGAAGGAGAAAATGGGCAGCAAAATCCAAGATCAGAAGTGCATGAACCATGGTCCCACCAGTTCCTTCTCCTTCTGACAACCCATATTCCACTCCCAGTCATTCGTTCACTCAACAAGCACCCCATGCTCTTATGGGAAATGAGACAATCTCAGCCTGGCCCAGAACCTGGGAACAGCACAAAGAATCAAGGGGCCTTCAGTAACCTCTGGGTACAGATAACCCCAAGACAGAAGTTGTGCATTGTGGACATTTGATCTCATATCTTCCCTTTTTCAGAAGGTGATTCAGAGACTAGCTACTTGGGCATCTCTGGGACCATCCTCCTCCTTAGCCCATACCTCCTAAAGCATCTCAGATGTGCACTTTAACATGACCATATGACTTTAACATAACAGCAGATGCTCAGCAGAGTAAATGAGGATAGGATTGACTGGTGTGAATATTTTTTACACAGAAAGAAAGCTCTCAGCTGTTAGATGGGCACATAGAAACTTGCATGTTACAGCTTCCCTTGCAGCTAAGTGTGTCTTTGTGACCGGGTTATTGAAGTGTAGGGAGAATATGGCTTTAAGAAGTGTGGGTGCAGCTGGGGAGTGGTGGCACACGCCTTCAATCCCAGCACTCGGGAGGCAGAGACAGGTGGATCTCTGAGTTCGAGGCCAGCCTGACTTACAGAGCAAGTTCTAGGTCAACCAGGACTGTTACACAGAAAAGCCCTGTCTCAAAAAACAAAAAAGAAAGAGGGAGAGAGAGAGAAAGGAAGGAAGAAAGAATAATTTGTACATCCTCTTTGTCCTCTCTGTCCCTTTATCCAGCTGGCTGCCTAGGATGTTGGACCATGCAATAGAAACCACACAGAACAAAGTGACAGGACAGAAAAAGCCCAGTTCTTGTCACTCAGTAGTTCCATGGTTTTCTACAAGACAGAAATAAGCATCCATGTTGTTGGGTCCACTATTTTGTATTGCTGAACACTTACATTTTAACTTAATGGTAAACTCCTGTCCTGCCTAAGTCACTTGACTGTTCAAATACTGCACAGAGAAGAGGCCAATCATTATTATCTAATGTCCTGTGATTTTCCTTGGGAGGATTTGGCACAGCTCATGATTGGATTAAGTAGTACTCAAACCCCCAACTTGAATGGAAGCTTCCTGAAGGAGCTTGGATGGCCACCACCCTGTCCCACCATCCACCCAGTGTCTCAATGTTTATAGAAAGGCACATGTCTAAGGCAGAAGAGTCCAGGGTCTTCCCATAGGACAGAGAGGATGGGAATGGAGTGGCCATGTCACCAATAGACTCTGTGGGGACTGCTGAGTTTTGAAAGCCAAGCAGGTTGCCAATCCCATGTGTCAATCCACCCAGGAGACAGTGGGAGGTGCAGCAAAGGAAGTCAGACATGTGCCACAATGTGTGGGAATGCTCTGGACCCCTTTGAACATGGCAGCAACTAGTAACAGCTGTGTTTGGGAACTAATGATCTTGTGGTATTCTGTGGTGTTCAGCCTCCAGTGATCTTCATCCACCAACAGCCCCAGGCCCTTATATAGTCACCTCTCACAGTGAATAAGTCGTTATGTAACTCAACAGGATATTGCAGAAGGTGTGACTCCTGAGGCTAGGTTCCAAGAGGCATCACGCCTTCGTCAAGTCTCTCCTGAATCACTTTTCTGGGGGAAGTCCCAGAGCCATCCCCTAAGGATGCTCAGGCATCATTCTCTTAGAGCAGTCCATACAGCAGACCTGAGGCCTCCTGCCACAGCCAGGTGAGGAAGCCCTCCAGGAAGCCTCCTCAGCCAAGGTCATGCCTCAGAGCTACAGTCTGGCTTACACTTTAGTCCATCTCTCGGGAAGACCTGAGCCAGAATTCCCCAGCTAAGCTACTCCTAAATCCTGACCCCCTAGGAACTACATGATACCAAGTGTTTAAGCCACTGAATTGTGAGTAATTGCTTACATTGCAATCAAGAAACACACGCTGGCATTCCCCTGCCTCCATTTCACCCCAGCCAGCCAAGGAGACCACTTTTGAAGTCAGAGAAGTCTCTAGGTGGCTGACCAGGAGGCATTGCTTAAATGGCTATGTACAGGCCTGAAACTAAGGAATAATAAGTCCTTCCCTGTAGCAGATGGCTGACTCCAGGTGTTGGGATCCTGGGTCATCCCCTTCCCCCAGAGCATGGCTGAATTTACTAGCTTGTACCAAATGAACAGAATATCACATATTGATGTCTGTTCTGAAATTACATTACAAAATATAGCAACTTCTGTCTCAGACAGTAACTCATGATCTCTTGAAGAAGGGAGCTGCCCTCCATGGATGTCACGTGATAGATTTTAAAAGAATCAACAACGACCATGTGCATGTGATTGGACAGGGATTGGTCAGCTCCAGTATATATTGTCTATATCTTGGGACATTACAGCCCTGCTGGATAGCTTGACTGGACCTCTGAAATGCCCTGAGCAGAGGCAACCCAGTTGATCCCTACTAGATTCCCACAGGACCACAAAGAAAAAAAAAAATTTAAGCTCCCAGTTTTCCCTGATCCATGATACAACAGCAGGTGGCAAATGTGTTGCTCGAGTATCTGTGAGAATGAAGTAGCATAGTAGTGTCTGGCATGCAGTAGGTGCTCATTAAATGCTTGCTGAATGATCACTCCATACAAAAGAATGTCCGGAAGGGAGAAACTTCCTTGACCCCACATGCACACTCTCTTCTACCCACCCCTGCCAGAAACATCACTGCTCGTTGTTTTAGGCAGGGAATATTTGGGTTGGGTTTGTTTTCTGTAATGAGACACTAGTTCATGTTTCATAGGAGTGGCTGGTTCAGCCTGGTCTGGTTGAAGAGAGATTAAAATACAATAGCCCTTTGTCAAACTCAGCGAGGATTTAAAGGAATTAGATCTCAGAAAATATGTCTCTGAAAATGTGGCTATGCTTTCTTGCTCCATTTAAGCCCTCTGACCAGCCAGAAGGCGCTTGCTCATTCCTTGTGCAGTTATTCACTGGTGCCTCTTCATGGGATATGGTCTGCCTGTAGAGATGAACATGGTGCAGCTTTGATTTCAAGAAATCAGGGAGGAGGTTAGCAAAAGTGAGGCAATAACCTGGGGCAGGGTACCAGTGTTGGGTACAACTTTGTGGGGTAAGTACAGAGTAAGGGAAGGTCTGAGGGCTGGGAGCCCCAGCCCTAACTCCATGCCATAGGGGTGAGGTTGTTTGAACTCTTTCAACTGAAGGTGATAAAAATCATCTCAAATTAATGTGAACTGTCCATGTCGGGAGAGAGGAAGGGAAGGTGAGGGAGTAGGAGAAATGGGAGAGAAGCGGGGGGGAGAGGGGAAAGGGGAAGAGAAGAGAGGGCAGAGGAGGGAAGGGGAGGAGAGTGTTGTGGAATAATATTTTAACTGTGTAAATGATCTGTGTTACATTTGTTCATGCTGTGGAATATTACTTTAACTGTGTAAAGGTGTGTTACATTTGTTCTTTGTGCTGTGGAATATTACTTTAACTGTGTAAAGGTGTATTACATTTGTTTCTCTTGTATTTGTTTAAGAATACAAGGATGTGTGTTTAATTATGTAAAGACATGTTACATTTGTTTCACCTTGCCTGCCAAAGGCACCTGATTGGTCTAATAAAGAGCTGACCCATCAATAGCTAGGCAGGAGAGGGATAGCAGGACAGGCAGAGAGAATATGCAGTAGGGGAAATCTAGGCTACAGAGGAAGAATGAGAGAAAAAGAAGAGAGGAGAGAACGAGGGAGATGCCCAGGG